GCGAGCTGGAGCTCCGCAGCGCCGGGTTTGGGGCATTTTGGGGACCCCCTCGCCGTGCTCGGCATGGCTCTGTCCCCCCAAACCCGCGGGGGGGGGGGCTGTGCCCCCCCCTGTCCCCTCCTGTCCCCTCCTGTCCCCCCTGTCCCCTCCTGTCCCTCCTGTCCCCGTGCCCCTCCCGGGCCCTTTGCCCCTTTGCCCCGCTCCGTCACGGGCACAGCGCGGTGCCCACGCTCTGCCCACCTTTGCCCGGGGCGGGTTCGTGCCGCGGCTCCCGGTGAGTGCCGGGGTCCCGGGGAGAGGGTGGGGGGCACCCCCAGATCCTGCAGCTCTTCCCCTGTGTCCCTCCCTCTCCCCAGTGCCCGTGCTGCCACCGCGGGTGTGCCAGGTAAAGCCCCTGCCCAGCTGGGGTGGGGGGTGAACACCTGAGGGCTCAGCAAGGGGGAAAAGGGACCCTCCCCCCAACTTTTTTCCCCTTGTTTTTGGGGGACCCTCGGGTGGGAGCAGCACTGGCACTGCCCTGAGCCCCTTGTGCCGTGCCAGGGATGGGTCTGGGGGCACCCTGGGGCTGGCACTGCCCTGAGCCCCAGTGCCCTTCCAGGGATGGGTCTGGGGGCACCCTGGGGGTCCCGGTGAAGGTGGGCACTGCCCTGACCCCTTGTGCCACCCCAGGGATGGGTTTGGGGGCACCCTGGGGGTCCTTATGAGCGTGGGCACTGCCCTGACTCCTTGTGCTACCCCAGGGATGGGTCTGGGGGCACCCTGGGGGTCCCGGTGAAGGTGGGCACTGCCCTGACCCCTTGTGCCACCCCAGGGATGGGTCTGGGGGCACCCTGGGGGTCCGTGTGAGGGCGGGCACTGCCCTGAGCCCCCTGTGCCATCCCAGAGATGGGCTCTGGGGATATCGTGGAGGATCTCCATCCATGGCACTGCCCTGACCCCCTTGTGCCACCCCAGGGATGGGTCTGGGGGTTTCCATCCATGGCACTGCCCTGACCCCCTTGTGCCACCCCAGGGATGGGTTTGGGGGCACCCTGGGGGTCCTTATGAGCGTGGGCACTGCCCTGACTCCTTGTGCCACCCCAGGGATGGGTCTGGGGTCACCCTTGGGGTCCTTGTGAGCGTGGGCACTGCCCTGACCGCCCTGTGCCCTCCCAAAGATGGGGTCTGGGGGTCCCAATCCATGGCACTGCCTTGTGCCACCCCAGGGATGGGTGTGGGGGCACCCTGGGGGTCCGTGTGAGGGCGGGCACTGCCCTGAGCCCCCTGTGCCCTCCCAAAGGTGGGGTCTGGGGGTCCCCATCCATGGCACTGCCCTGACCCCTTGTGCCACCCCAGGGATGGGTCTGGGGGTCCCAATCCATGGCACTGCCCTGACCCTTTGTGCCACCCTAGGGATGGGTTTGGGGGCACCCTGGGGGTCCTTGTGAGCGTGAGCACTGCCCTGACCCCTTGTGCCACCCCAGGGATGGGTCTGGGGGTCCCCATCCATGGCACTGCCCTGACCCCTTGTGCCATCCCAGAGATGGGTCTCAGGACACCCTGGCCGTCCCCGTCCCCCCCGTACCCCCCATCAACCATTTCCGGCACTGCCCTGACCCCCTTGTGCCACCCCAGGGATGGGCCTCAGGACACCCTGGCCATCCCTGTCCCCTCCGTACCCCCCATCATCCATTTCCCCCAGCCCACCCCTGCCATGGCACCACCCTAACCCCTCTCCGTGCCACCCCCCAGGTGCCCCCATGGCGTCGTTCCGCATCCGGCAGTACCAGGACCACGACTACGAGGCCGTGCGGGCGCTGTTCGCCCGCGGCATCCTGGAGCACGTTCCGGCCAGCTTCCGGCACGTTCTGCGGGCGGCGCGGGTGCGCCTGGCGCTGCTGGCCGTCTTCGTGGCGGCGAGGGCGGCCGCGGGCTCCTGGGTGCTGGGGCTGGGCGCGGTGGCGCTGGCGCTGGTGCTGCTCTGGGTGATGGTGCGCTCGCTCGGCACCGACTACGTGCGCGAGGCGCTGGGCACCGACCTGTGCGACGTGCCCGGCACGTACCTGCGCCCGCCCGAGTGCCGCTTCTGGGTGGCCGAGGAGGGCGGCGCCGTGGCGGGCATCGTGGCGGCGGTGCCCGCGGGCCGAGGCGAGCTGGAGCTCAAGAGGCTGTCGGTGAGCCGGGAGCACCGGGGCCGCGGGTTGGCGCGGGCGCTGTGCCGGGAGGTGCTGGCGTTCGCCCGCGCCCGCGGCTACGGCGCCGTGGTGCTCAGCACCTCCGTGGTGCAGGTGGCGGCGCAGCGGCTCTACGAGGGGCAGGGGTTCCGCAAGGTGGGCACCTCGTACCCCTCGCTGCTGGGCACCTTGCTGAACTTCCAGATGTTTCACTACCGCTGTGACTTGGGCGATGGCAATAAGTAGGGGGGCCCGGGCGGCGCGGTCCCGGCGTGGAGGGTCCGGCGTGGCGCGCCGGCTCCAGCCGCGGCGCCGCGAGCCCGGGACGTGAGGCGCTGCCGTGGCGCCCGAACCCTGGCACCGCCGCTGCCCGTGAACCCTGGCACCGCTATGGCACCCCAAACCCGGCCCCGGGACGCCACCCCGTCACTCCGACCCCAATCCTGGCACTGCAGCACCGGCACAGCACCGCGATCCCAGGACACGAAGCACCGCCGCGGCACCCCAGCCTGGCGCTGCCTTGGCACCGTGACGCCGGGACGTGTGGCACTCGCCGCCTTGGCGCCCCGGCTCCGGGATCCACCGCAGCACTCCAACCCTGGCACTGAAGCACCGCCGTGGCACCCCCGATCCCCACCCCGGCACAGGGGGCACCTCCGTGGCCCTTCCTGGATTTCCAGCAGCGGGAAATAAAGAGAGACCTGTGGGAACGGTGTGTGTGACAAGGGACATCTTGGGGCACGGGGACATCCCCTGGGGGTAAGGGACAGCCTGGGGCACAGCGAACGCTCTGAGGGAGAAGGGATACCTTGAGGGACACCTGGGTGGAACAGGGGACATCTTGGGCGACACCTTCGGGGATAAGAGGCCTCTTGGGGAACTGGGAACACTATGGGGGACAACGGAGATTTTGGGGGAGAGGGGAAGTCTTTGGGGACAGGCGACACTTCTGGGGGACAAGGCCTGTGCCCTCACCCAAGATGGCGGCGGTTCCCCTTTCTCGCTGCCCTCGCCCAAGATGGCGGCAGTTCCCCCTTTCTCCCCGCCCTCACCCAAGATGGCGGCGGTTCCCCATTCACCTGCCCGTGCCCTCACCCAAGATGGCGGCGCCCAGCTCTGCGTCACGGCGCGACGTGCGGGGCGTGGCGCGCTGAGGGAAGCTCCGGGGCTGCCGGGTCCCGGTCCCGGTTCCCCTCGGCCCATCCCGGTTCCCCCGTCCCGGCCGCGCCATGGATTGTTACACGGCCAACTGGAACCCGCTGGGCGAGGAGACCTTCTACCGGTGAGGGGCAGCGGCGGCGGCACCGGCCTGAGCGTGCTCGGAGATCCCGGGGCTGCGCGGGGGTCCCGGGGGTGCTCGGGGGGCTCCGGGGTGCCGGGGGTGCTCGGGGGGGGTGACAGGGATGGAATGGGGATGGCAGGGCTGGAAAGGGGGTCCCGGAGATGGCCGGGGTGGGGTTCTGGGGCTGTTTTGCCGTTCTGGGGTAGCCATGGGGCTGACGGGGACGGGGGTCCCGGGAGGGTGAGGGGGGCCCTGGGTGGTCACAGTCCTGGGGCTGGCTGGGAAGGGGGTCCCGGGATGGTTGAGGGGTCCCAGGGGTGTCTGTGGGGTCCCAGGGGTGTCTGTGGGGTCCCCTTTCTTGGAGGGGACTCGTTGTGCCCATGGATCGTGGGGCTGGCTGGGAAGGGGGTCCCGGGATGGTTGAGGGGTCCCAGGGGTCATTGAGGTGTCAGGGTGGTCTTGGGGCTGGCTGGGAGGAGGCTCCTGTGGGGGGCTGGGGGGGCCCAAGGTGGCCCCGGCTCCCCAGGCTGGTCTGGGGGATCCCTGGGGGTCTCTGGGGGTTCCCGGGGTGTCTGTGGATCTTGGGGCTCCTGGGGGTGTCCCAGGAACAGTTTGGGAGTGGGCACCGTCCATGTCTCTCCCATCATTGTGCCTGCTGCATGTCCGTCCATCCATCCATCATCCATCGTCCCAGGAAGCTGGAGCTCTACTCCATGGAATGGGGGCTGCGGGAGGACCTGCGTGACTGTGTGGTGGCAGCTGCCCCGTACGGGGGTCCCATAGGTGGGTGCAGCCCCCCGAGCCCCCCTCCCCGTGCTGGGGCCGGGCCACCAATGGCTCAGGGACTGTCCCCTCCTTGTCCCAGCTCTGCTGAGGAATTCCCGGCGGGACAAGACCCCCAGCTCCCGCCCTCTCCTGGAGATCTACTCGGCCTCAGGGCTGCTCCTGGCCAGTGTCCCGGTGAGCCGGGGGGACGGAGAGCCCGGGTTTGGGGACAGGGAGAGGGAGCTGCCCTGGGATGGAAGAGGAGGATGGGGTGGGGTTGGAACAGGAGAATCCTTTCCCTGCTGATGAGGCATGGGAGAAGAGGATGGGATGGGTTTGGAGCAGCAGGATTGGGCAGGAGGAGAGTCCTCCCTTCGTCCTATCTGGATCTGGGAGAAGAGCATGGATTGGGGTTTGGAGCAGGAGAATCCTCTCCCTGCTGATGAGGGATGGAAGAAGGTGGAATGGGGTTTGGAGAATTCTTTCCCTACTGCCCAGGGATGGGACAGGAGGGTGGGATGAGGACTGGAGCCACGGGAACATCCTCCTTCCCCCCTGCCTGGGGCTGAGGGGGACATGGGACAGTGGAGGAGCAGTGCCAGGACTGCAGGGACCTGCAGGGCCGGGACAGGCGGGGTGTTGGACCTCCGGGTGGGGTGTTGGACCTCTGGATAAGGCATTGGACCTCCAGGTGAAGTGTCAGTGTTGGACCTCTGGATGAGGTGTGGTGTCAGCCCTGCGGATGAGATGTTGGACTTTCGGATGAGGTGGCAGACCTCTGATGGGGTGGCAGTTCTCTGGATGAGGTTTTGGCCTTTTGGATGAGGTGTTGGACCTCCACCTGAGGTGTTGGACCTCTGGGTGAGGTGTGCAAGCTCTGGACGAGCTGTCAGACCTCAGCCACCCCAGGTGTGTCCCTGGAGAGCCATCCCTGGCTCGGGGCTGACCCTTCCCGTGCCATTCCCAGTGGAAGAGCGGCCACCTGGTGCACCTGGGCTGGACAGCGGGGGAGGACCTGCTGTGCATCCAGGAGGATGGGACTGTCCTGGTCTACAACCTCTTCTGCGAGTTCAAGCGGCACTTCAGCATGGGAAACGTGAGGGAACGGGATTTGGGATGGATTTGGGATGGGATTTGGGATGGATTTGGGGTGGGGCAAGTGGGAAGGGACCTCACAGCCCATCCCATTCCACCCCTGCCCTGGGCAGAGACACTTTCCACCATCCCAGGTGGCTCCAATCCTGTCCAGCCTGGCCTTGGACACTTCCAGGGATCCAGGAGCAGCCACAGCTTCTCTGGGAATTCCATCCCAGCCCCTCCTCACCCCCAAGCCAGGAATTCCTTCCCAAAATCCCACCCCAGTCTCATCTTCTCCATTTCCCCCTCATTCTACCCCTTGTGAGATGCCCTGGGTGGAGTTTGGGGGATGCAGAACCGACTCCTTGGGGCACCACGGGGAGCCAGGGGCTGTCCCATCCCTGGGGAAAAGAGCTGGGATCCATCCCGGAGGGCAGCACGTTCACTGCCTGCATCAGCCGAGCCCTGCGTGTCCCCGGTGTCCCCGGTGTCCCCAGTGTCCCCTCCCCTCCTGCCCTGCAGGAGGTGCTGCAGAACCACGTGCTGGAGGCGCAGGTTTTCCACACGGAGTTCGGGACGGGCGTGGCCATCCTGACGGGAGCGCTGCGCTTCTCCCTGGCCACCAACATCGAGGACCTCAAGCTGCGCCGCCTGCCCGAGGTCCCTGGTGGGTGTCCCCATGTCCCCCTCTGTCCCCCTCTGTCCCTCTGTCCTCCCACCCATCCCCTTGTCCTTGTTTCTCTGTCCCTCTGTCCCCAGTCCCCGCTGTCCCTCCTGTCCCCCTCTGTCCGTCTCTGTCTGCCTCTTTCCCCAATTTTTTTCCGTGTGTCCCCTGCTTGTCCCACCATCCCTCAGTGCCCTCTGTCCCCTTGTCCCCCCTGTCCCTTTTCTGTCCCCGCTGTCCCTGTCTGCCCGTGTCCCCGGGGTGTCACGCTGTCCCCGCAGGGCTGCAGAAGCCCCCGCCGTGCTGGACCGTGCTGGCCCAGGACAGGGTGACCATGGTGCTGCTGGCCATGGGACAGGAGCTCTTCCTGCTGGACAACACCTCCTGCTCCGTGCTGGTGAGGCACTTTGGGAATTTGGGACAGGGCTGCACTGTCCCCCGCTGTCCCCGCTGTCCCTTGGGGTGTTCCTGGCTCCTTCCCCTGTCCCCTGAGATGCTCCCAGGTCCTTTTCCCACCCCATGGGATATTCCCAGCTCCCTCCCCTGTCCAATGGGATGCTCCCAGGTCCTTCTCTCATCCCTCCTGTCCCCTGGGATGCTCCCAGGTCATTTTCCTGTCCCATGGGATAGTCCCAAGTCCTTCTCCTGTCCCTCCTGTCCCATAGGATGTTCCCAGGTCCTTTCCCTGTTCCATGATATGTTCCCAGGTCTATTCCCTGTCCCAGGGGATGCTCCCAGATCCTTTCCCATCCCACAGGTTGCTCCCACTTCCTTTCCTATCCCATAGGATACTCCCAGGTCCTTTTTCTGTCCCGTGTGATATTCCCCGTAGGATATTGCCAAGTCCTTTTCCCACCCCATAGGATATTCCCAGATCCTTCCCCTATCCCATGGGATGCTCCCAGATCCTCTCCCATCCCATAGGATGATCCCAGATCCTTTTCCTGTTCCAGAGGATGCTCTCAGATCCTTTCCTTGTCCATGGGATGCTCCCAGATCCATCCTTTGATCCCATAGGATGTTCCCAGATCCTTCCCCTGTCCCATGGGATGCTCCCAGATCCTCTCCCATCCCAGATGCCTCCGAGGTCCCCACTGGTGACCCCCCTGTCCTGACCCTGTCACTCTGGGGTCCCTGAGCCCCCGCTGTGTCCCCTGGTGACCCCCCTGTCCTGACCCTGTCACTCTGGGGTCCCTGAGCCCCCGCTGTGTCCCCTGGTGACCCCCCTGTCCTGACCCTGTCACTCTGGGGTCCCTGAGCCCCCGCTGTGTCCCCTGGTGACCCCCCTGTCCTGACCCTGTCACTCTGGGGTCCCCCCCTGTCCTGACCCTGTCACTCTGGGGTCCCCCCCTGTCCTGACCCTGTCACTCTGGGGTCCCTGAGCCCCCGCTGTGTCCCCTGGTGACCCCCCTGTCCTGACCCTGTCACTCTGGGGTCCCCCCCTGTCCTGACCCTGTCACTCCGGGGTCCCTGAGCCCCCGCTGTGTCCCTGGTGACCGTGTCCCCAGACGCCCCCCGGGCTGAGCCCCTCGGCGGGGCCGTTCCTGCGCGTGGCCGTGTCCTTCACCCAGCGGCACCTGGCGCTGCTCTGCGACTGCGGCACCGTCTGGATGGGAGCGGCCTCGCTCCGGGTGAGCCCCGCGCCACAGGAATAACTGATGACAAAACAATAACAATAAATAACAACAATAACAATAACAATAACACTTTTCCTGCCAGTAATAATAATAATAAGAAGAAAAAAGCATTTGCATGCCATTGATGATAATTACAATAAAAGTCTTTGCCTGCCATTGATGATACTAAAATCCCAAATCCTAAATCCAGCCCTTTTCCTGCCACCTTCCAGCCTTTCCCTCATCCTTTCACCAGGAGCTGCAGGAATGTTTTCCCTGTCCTGCTTGGAGCCCTGCTTGCTCCCAGAGCTGGAAGCT